AACTATATTGAACAGATAAGGAGAGAGTGCAAAACCTTGTCTTGTTGCTGATTTCAGTGGGATCAATGTGAATTTCTCTCCATTTTGTTTGATGTTGGCTGTTTGCTTGCTGTATATTGCCTTAATTATGTTTAGGTATGTTCCTTGTATCCCTGGTCTCTCCAAGACCTTTATCATGAAGGGATGTTGTATTTTGTCAAAAGCTTTTTCAGCATCTAATGAGATGATCATGTGGTTTCCTGCATTGCTGGTGGGAGTGCAAGCTGGTACAGCCCCTTTGGATATCAGTACGGCAATTTCTCAGAAAATTAGGAAACAATCTTTCTTAAGAGCCAGCAATATCACTTTTGTGTATATATCCCAAAGATGCTCAATCATATAACAAGGACATGTGCTCAATTATGTCCATAGCAGCATTGTTTGTCATAGCCAGAACCTGGAAACAACCTAAATGCCCCTCGACCGAAGAATGAATAAGGAAAATGTGGTATATTTACACAATGGAGTACTACACAGAAGAAAAAGAATCTTGAAATTTGCAGGCAAGTGGATGGATCTAGAAAACATCATATTGAGTGAGGTAACCCAGACCCAGAAGGACAAATATCTTATGTCCTTACTCATAAGTGGTTTTTTAGACATACAGCAAAGAAAACCAGCCCACAAAACAGAGTCTCAGAGAACCTAGACAACAAAGACAAGAACTCCTGAGTAAATTGGGAGCATGGGAGAAGATTGAAGGGGAGGAGAGAAGGAAGGGAGGGGAGGAGAGAAAAATTTAATAAAATCAATAAAAAAGAACCGATTAACACATGAAAGAAGCCAGTTGACAGGAAAAGACACACAACAAACAGAACATGAACCAAAAAAGGCCCAAGATGTATAAACAAGAAACAGCAGCGCTATGTAAACAACCTACAGAGTCCTAAGATTCCCTGCCCAGTGTTCGAATGCTTGCCTCTTCCCATCCCGCTAGCCCACTCAGATTTAAGGAGATTCTTTTCTTTTTTTGATAACCTGTCTCTGTTTCTATTAATTTAAAATATAGCAACATATAAGGAACAATATTTACATTTATTATGAAAATTGAGAGGAATAGAGCAAGATTTGGGCCAGTTCACATTTAGCTGTCAGTGTGGCGTGAACAGAGCCAGCTATAAAGAGCAGTGGGGTAGGAGTGCAGCGTGGAGAAGGCATGGAGTGGCCTTTTTCGTTGTTTTTTGAGACAGAGTTTTTTTCTGGGTAGCCCTGACTGTCGTGGATCTCACTCTGTAGATCAGGCTGGCCTGGAACTCAAAGACATCCGCCTGTCTCTGCCTCCTGAGTGCTCGCATTAAAGGTGTGCACCACCGCTGGCCAGCTGAGTTGTCTTGATGAAATAAAAACTATCTTCTAAGAAGCATTAAGAACCTACGATTTGCAATATGTTAACCTGTTATTTATAATTGCTGAATGTCACCCACCAAGTGGCCTTGAGCACACAGAACATCGAATGGTGCCAATTCAACTTCTGCACTTGGAAGAAACACACTTGAGTCTGCACACCACCATACAGCTGAGTCATACGCTGGAGAGATGGCACCACAGTTAGCAATGGCTGCTCCTCCAGAGCACGCAGGTTTGACTCCCAGCACCCACATGGCAGCTCACAATTGTCTATAACTCTAGTTCCAGGGAATCTGATATTCTCTTCTGACCTCAGTAGGCACTGCATACACCTGTTACACAGACACACATGCAGGCAAAATACCCAAAATACCAGAAACTACACACAAAATACTGAAGCCCATACAGTTGCACAGATAGTACAAATGCATACACATTTATTTTATATATAGACATGATATCATAGTTCATTCTTGAGAATCATTCAACTGCATTGTATTTTTCTGTAAATCTCATGGTGTTTTAAGTAAGTGTAAAATTGTGTTCATACCTACTCCAAGCTGCATGTGACTCAGGCAGGACTAGGCATCCATGGTCTCTAGAATGGGAGAAAATCTGGGCATCCACATCTGATGTTAGACTAATATCAAGAATCTATAAATGAGAAACTTGAACACAAGTCAGTTTCTACCTTAGCAGCAGCCCGCCTCAGCCGCCAAAGCAGTTACATCATCACCTGTTGCCAGGTGCCTTCCTATCCTCAGCTACGCGACACACGCACCCCTTTAACATGCCCGCCGGAGTAGAGCTCGCTCTCGTCTCGTTTCTCTTGCCTCTTACTCCTCTCTTGGCCTCTTCTTTCCTCTCTTGCCTCTTCTTGTCCCCACTCTGACATGTGTTTCACCCTTTTGCCTTCCACCCCCGCATAACCTCTTGCACTAACTCTGTTGCCCATGGCGTGTTTGCTTAGTGGCATACCTTGGCAGGGCCCGCTGAAAGGTACCCACTTTACCTTTCTTTTTATTTATCCTTTCAACACACCACACACAGCCAGTCAACAAATGGGCAGTAACTGAACATTAATAAAGACTAACGGTTCTCATTCTCAAATAAATAAATAAATAACAGCAAATATAGAGAAAAATATTTAGGAACCTTAGCACTGGGGAACTAGAAATTAAATACATTAACACCTGTCTCGCCCCAATCAGAATAGCTATCCAGACATCAAATGAAGGCGAGGGTGCTTACCCACTGCTGGTGGGAATGTGAGCCAGTGTAGCTACTGTGGAAATCAGTATGGAGGCTCCTCGGAAATGCAAAATGAGAGCTACGACATGACCCAGCTACGCTGCTCCCTGCATACCTGGCAGAATCGAAGTCACCACGCCACAGAGATATTTGCACACCTACTCTCACTGAATTATTCACCATAGCCAAGATAGGCAGCCAGCGTAGACAATGTCTCTCTCTCTCTCTCTCTCTCTCTCTCTCTCACACACACACACACACACACACACACATACACAGTGGTGTTTTATCCAGCTGTAAAAAGATAATGAAGTTATGCCTTTTGCAGAGAAACAGTTGAAACTGGAGATTATTGTGGTAAATGAAATAAGCAAGAATCAGAAAGATAAATGTTTTCACATGCAGAATTTAAATTTTTTTAAGATTAATACGTGCTATGAAGGTAGAACTGGGCCTACAAGAGGGAGCAGCCTAAAGGGCTGAGGTGGAGCCTCCAGCGAGGCCAGCAGCTGTGTGCGCTGTCGGCACTTCTCCACCCACACGAAGCACTGGCGGGCTGACCGGCCACTGCTTAAGAGCACATATTGTGTCTAGGTTTCTGGGAAGAGAGCCTCACCATGACCTTCCTTCCCTCGAAGTTTCTCAAAATCCCCATCCACAACTGTAAGGAGCAGGTCACTTACCTCCTGGAATGCCTGTGCTGAGACAGGTCTGTCTCTGTGTGTGCCACAAGGATGATGGCGTCAGGGCGACTGAGAAGATAGGCAAAAAGCTGGTCCTGCCAAGTTGCTGGGCTTTCCCAGCCATGGCAGGAAAACATACATTAAAAACTGCTCAAGGGCTACAGAGTCACTGCTGGAGGAGCTGCCACTTCCAAGCCTGTCAACACAGACAAGGAAGCCAATATCGCAGCTGGAATCCCACTCTCCGCCTTGAACATCCACCGCCTCAACCCTGGCAGCCTCGCTGTGGGACAGTTCTAACTACTGGAAAGTGTCTCCTTTGGTGGGAGCCTTAACCCACCCACTCAGTTACCCTAGTTGGCTTCTCTGTGGCTATCATAAGCTCTGACTGAGAAGCAATGTCTGGAGAAAACGTTCCTTCAGCTTACAGGTTACAGTTCATCAAGGGAAGCCAGGACAGGAACTCAAGGCAAGAACTGAAGCACGGACCACACAGGAATACTATTTATGGACTTGTTTTCCCCTGATCTTCTCAGTTACACAGCCAAGGCCCACCTGCCTGGGAATGATGCCGCCCACAAAGGACTGGGCCCACCTGCATCCATTAGCAATCAAGAAAAACGCTCCACAGACATGCCCACAGGACACTCTGCTGAAGGCAACCCCTCAAATGAGAGTCCTACTTCCCAGGTGTGTTAAGCTGACAACCAGATTGGCCATTACAATTGCCATGCACGAACTCTGTATAAATCAAAACAGTGTATAATTAGGGGTGAGAGAGTTTGAGAAGGGAGTTGGGGGTGAAGGGGGGGCAGGCAACATGGATGCAGCCCTTTCTAGCAGTCCCAGGAGTACAAGATACAAAACAGGTGCCCAGGCCTTTTGTCAGGAATTAGTTCTGTGCTGGCTGCTCATCTAGCACCAGAGGCTGTCAGACAGGTGTTGCCAGGGATCACTACATCCATTAGGACAACGAACTTGATGCTTCTGCCTTCACTTTGTCTTCCCACCCCCATTCTTTCTGCTCCTCTTGGGACACACAAGCTCACCCAACTGGAGAGTAAAGTTCACCTTCTGACCCCCTGATGTGACTGGGCCACCCTTGTCTGCCTTTGCTGGGGAAAAGGACTGGGGTGGGGGTGCAGGAGGAAGGCACTGCAGTCATCAACTCTGAAGGACCTGCCAAAGGGGCTAACATCAGATTTGTAGTCCTGCCTCTACCTCCAGCTTACGTGTTTGTTCAAGCCTGACTTTCCCACCAACATTTCCTATCTCTCACAATACTTTTTTTTTTTTTTGCCCTTGACTTTGTTAAATAAACTAAGAATAGTTAATGCTTACTATGTACCTAGTGGCCAACTTCTGAGACTTAAAACACCAATTTGATGGCACATGCTTTTAGTCCCAGCACACAAGATGCTGAGGCAGGAGGATTGCTTGAACACAGAAAGACAATTAGATTGCTCTCCCAGATTACAACTCTCCAGTATAGTGATAAACAGTAGTCACTGCTGGGAAGACTCTAACCTCAGTTTAACTTCCTACAAGGAGAATGTTCTCATGTATAATTTGCCTACTTGAAGTACTGACTAGTAAAAGAAGAAAACTGTTAGCTATATTACCAAAACAATGAAACAAATATTAAGAATCTATTAAAACATTAAGGAAAATACAAACATGTATGGTACAATTTGATTCATGGTTTGAAACATTTATTAAAATACTCAGTATTATATGATCATAACAGCCATTTTCTTCTATGCAAAGATAATTAAAACACCAGCACATGTATTCCAAAAGCAGTCACATTCTGTTTATATTTTTTGTTTTCTTCTTTTATGACCATGATGTCTTTCTCCATCCCTGAAATAAATAGGCATAAAATTATGAGACATATTATTTATATTAGAGCTTTGTAGTAATTCAACAAAGTTATTTTTACCAGACATAAACTATGATAAGCTAAGACATGCATTTAGAACTGAATACTTTTTTTTTTTGAGACAGTCTCACTATATAGCCCCAGCTAGCCTAGAACTTACTATGTAGACCAGGCTGGCCTTGAACTCAGAGATCTACCTGTCTTTGCCTCGAGTACTGAGATTAAAGACATACATCACCACTCCCAGTTGACAATACTCTCTACTTAATAGTAAAAAGAGAAAGTTAAATGACTAAAATTAAGATCAAGATTAAAATATAGGTAAGCAAAATGAGGAGGCTCTAATTAGAGAGAGGAAAAGAGATAAATACAAAAGAAATAAAAGGGCAAAATAATAATAAAGATGTTTGAAAAAAGTTATAAGGAATCATACTGCTAACTAGCTAACAAAAACAAAACCTAAGTCTGTTTACAAATACACAATTTATATGAAATTTTCTCACCTGGCCTGACAATGCTCCCTCCAAGAGCCAAAGACCACCTAACAAAACCCCCAACCAGGTATGAGAAGCCTTCTTCTGAGTTGTTGGTGGAAGTTGTTCAAGAAACTCCCAAAGAATTAAAGGTCATTGCCGCTGTTCTTGGCTGCCCCTCAGAGGTGGAAGGTAAGTCCCTATTGCTGAAGACACCATGCACTTCAGACACAGAGCCCAGAGACCCCTGAGCTGGAACTGACAAGAATAAATTCCTTCTCCTTGACGATTAGCTTTCAGGGTACCAGAAATCACCATGCAAACTTCCAAAGGAGGGAAGCAACCAACAGTCCTACTCAGCTATGATGCTTATGAACCACATCAACAAGCACGGCACAATAGTCCTAAGGGTGCCAATAGTGGCACAAATACCTTGTTGGTATCCAAAAGTTCTCTAATTGAACTTAAGGCCTGCTCAACAGAAGAAGTCATGCCTAGTACTGGAGACCTAGCTAACTACCCAGGGGTAGTAAAGTCATGGATCTAGGAAGAGAGCCTTCAACTACCACTTTATTAAACCAGTATAGCCCCTAACTTTACTTAAAATATTTGTCCTTATACCCACAGTTAAATGTAATCCTCACCGCTCATGAAGGAAATTTCTCTTTACAACAGACACAAGACTATTACAGAAAATCACAACTAACCAAAATGTGGAGTTGTGGAGCCTAGCACCAATGGACAGATTCATCTACAAAACACCCCCACACCTAAGGCTCAGGGGATACCGCAGAAAACGGGGCAGGGAGATGATAAGAGCCAGAGGATCAGGGAATGACTATCTCCTCGTAATTTCAGAAATTACACTCATAAAGTCTCACTAACATAACTACCTATACAGGTCCAGAGCAAAGACAAGAGCAGACATACCAAAGAGGACTGGGGAAAGCCCATGAAGCCTCTAGCCTACACAAAGAACTATAGGCAACTAAGGAATTCTCAGAGCAGGAGAAACAGTATTTTGAAAGAGCGACCATTTGGTTATCCAATCAGTACCAAATGGTCAGCTCTGAAAACATATATACAAGTAACATACAGACTGAGCAGGCTATATTTAGGAATGCATATGCATATATATATATATGCATACAAGGACAATAAATGAAAAAGAGGTCATGAATTTGAAAGAGCAAGGAGGGGTATATAGAAGTTTGGAGGGAGGAATGACAAGGAGGAGGACATGATATCTCAAAAGTAAAAGAAAGGGGGAAAAGATAAGCAAAATAGGATTATACTTAGGAGATTTGCTTTAAAATAACTCTGAATATATGTTAATGTTAGATGACCAGGGAATCCATTTCAAATAGAATACTAAAGGTACAGAAAAAAAATTAAATTAGCTGACTTCCTTATTCTGGCTGCTGTCTCAACCTCTCTAACTCATTCTATTTTAGGAATGAATGTAGAAATCGGCCTTACACTAGGAGGAAGTATTTCCTGTGTGTACACTGGTTATCCTCTCTAACAAGACTACTTCATTTTCACATTGACGACTTCCAATGTAAGTTTATAGGGATTGATTAGAGATGTCAACTCTGTAAAGAGCCAAAGTACAGTGTCTACTAGATGGAAGAGTTCATCTGTGGGAGTCAGAGGGGTAACTAAGCAAGCATTTCATCATTGTAAGAGAACTACATCACAGTTAGCTTTAGACCTACAAAATAACAGTAAGATTAGCAAAACTGTCAGGCCAATAGAAAAAGCTTTACTTGGACTAGAGAGCTGGCTTGAATGTTGACTACTCTTGCAGAGAACCAGGGTTTAGTTCCCATCACCCAGGCAGCTTATAAGCGTCTGTAGCTACAGGTCCAGGGCATCCAGTGTCTTCTTCTGGCCTCCATGGGCATCTGCACACACTGGGTGTACATAAGCTCATGCAGGCACGCACACATAACATAAATAACTTTTATTATTTTTTTTTCTAGACACAGTTTCTCTGTGTAACAGTCCTGACTGCCCTGGAACTCACTTTATAAAGTAGGCTGGCCTCAAAATCACCTGCCTCTGCCTCTTGAATTATTAAATTAAATTAAAGACATGTACCAACACAGCCCGGCAAATAACTTTTTTAAAAAAGGATTCACTAATTCTTCTTTACCATTGGCTCTGCAGAGACACACCATGTGAAAATCTAGTGTTTGACAGCACTGTGCACATCAAACCAAAGAGCCAGGCATGGTGGTGCACACCTTTAATCCCAGCACTTGGGAGGCAGAGTTAAGGTGTATCTCTGTAAGTTTAAGACCAGCTTGTCTACATAGTGAGTTCCATGACAACCAGAGTGACCCTGTGAGACTCTGTTTCAGAAAAACAAAAAACAAACAGATACAACAGCAAAACCAAGTAGGACACAGACCCTGCCTTCCAGAGTTACCCTTCTCCTGGGGAAGAAACTACTAAGTTCAACAAACAATATTGTGCTAGGTAAGACCATCGGCTCAGGAAAAGATAAGGCTTTACCAAGCAAGCCTTTAAAAAGAAAAAAAAAAAAAATAGAAGGACACGGTGCAAAATGGCATAGCTATGAATGAGAACTCATGTCAGGCTACCCAGGGCAGATTCTGCACTCCATGGGGTAATGGAAAGTACAAGAAATAAACAGAAACAGATCCTAAATGCTGAAAGCCATTCAAAGAAGTGGGGATTTTGCTGCTGCTCAGTTTTAAGAAAATTCACTTGGGCAGCACAGTAGAAATGGAGTCACAGCGTTTAAGTTCAGACAGCAACTCAAAGATGACTATTATTCTCTAGTCTGTTCAGACAGCAACGGGAACAGGAGAGAGGCACACAGCAGAATGGACAGAAATTTGGACCTGACCAATGGTAGGCAGTGAATGATTTCCGGCTTAGATAAGTTTGAGAGGGTTATCCCACCAACCAGGACAGGAGTACTAGGGAAGGACAGGACGCGAAACAGTTTAGTCAGAGCCCTGGTGAATGTGACATCCAGGAGGATGCCCAATAAGCAGGTGGCATACAAGATTAGATAGTTTAAATATATTATTTAACATTAATTCATATCTCCTAGTTATCAAAATTATACTACCAAGTTAAAATTTACTGATTAAAATTAGGATGTGTATGATTCTAAAAATATTTCAGCTAGGGAATTAGCATGAAGAATGCGAAACAAGAGAGAACAATATGAACAGAAGGTCTAAGCAATATCATAACACTGCCTTATCTAGACATTATTTTCACATCAGGTTAAGAAGTGATTTTTTTAAAAAAAGAGGTGGGGGCACCAAGCAGGTCACCTGGTGGTACAAGTCTATAATCCAGGCTACTTGGCAAGCAGAGGCAAGAGGATCAAAGACTCAAGGTCAGCCTGAATTCTATAGTGAGTTCAAGGCCAGATTGGGTAACAGAGTCAGTTTCTGTCTCAAAATTAAAAAAACATACATATACATATACATACACACACACATATACATATATATATATAGAAAAGAACTGAAGTTATAGCTCAGCAGTAGAGCACTTGGTCTACCATGCATGAGCCTCTACGTTCAACTTCCAATACCACAAAGGGAAGGGGCTGAGGGAAGGCAATGTTTTACCACGCACACAGAACTAGGAATACAACACTACAGGGGTAGTCTATGAAGTAAGCTACAGTAACTCTGAAGAATTCCATTGATTCCTCCCTGACCTTAGCTTATTCCTACATTCTACAACAAAGTCAACAATGCTGGGTAACTCAGGGGTAGACAGACTCACCTCTCTTTCCTTCTTCTTGACTCAGAATTTTTATCTTTATTTCTTTTTCGTTTGTGTGGGCTCCTACTCCGAGCCTTTCTATGTCGTGAATTTTCCGCATCCAGATAGCTTCCACCAGACTGTCGTGAGTCTACCGAAGCTGATCGCCTTTCTTCATTCCTGCAGCACAGAAAGGAATACCCACCAGTTCCTTCCACCAGTGGTCTCACTGCACACACAGACCACCAACCTAATGTATAATATTCTGTATCATACCAATGGCATCAAGAGTGTAAAGAAACAAGCTTAATCTTGTATTCCACAAAGGTAGCAGTCAAAGAAACAACCCCTGTAATATTACTTAATTATTTCCCTAATATGATTGCTCATCCCTATACCTGACAATATCACAACTCTAAGAACAGTAATTCTGAGCACTGGCAATAAACAAGCACCAATGAATCACAGCATATTACCAAGAATCTTGGAAATGCTATGGTTTAATAGTACATATAGGTGATAGTTAAAAAGACACTACTTTAAGCCAGACATAGTATGCAAGCCCACAATTACAGCACATGAGAGACACACTACTATACAGCAAGTGCATGGCCCTGGGTTCAACACAAACAGAAAATTAAATAAGCAAACGCCTCATCAGTAAAGACAATGACATACTTTTCAGCACCATCTTCTGCTCTTTCCTGTTCTTGCCAGTGGTTACTGAGTTCTTCCATGTGCACTTTTATCACATCCCGAATTACCTTGGAAGGAGTAAAAACCAAACGTCAGACAGGGAAGTTGCTCTAAAATTCAAAATCATAAAACCTGAAAAACGGGGCTGGAGAGATGGTTCAAGGTTAAAAGAATCTGTTACTCTTCCAGAAGAACAAATCTGGTTTCCAGCATCCAGGTGGTGTGGCTTACAATCACCTATAACTCAGAATTTGGGGATCTGATGTCCTCTCTGGCCCCTTGGGCACCCACACTCATATTCATATGATCACACACATATATGTAACTAAAAATAAAATCTTTTAGAAAAATCTCTGCTTGACTTCACTAAAAACTTTGCTAAGGGCTATAATATAATGGACTATGAGACGCATGTATTTAGGAACTATAGAGTAGGCACTGGTCACACTGGTGAATAGATGGTAGATGGCAGCATTATTTCAATATTAAATTTGAAGTTGGAGTTATGTTATGACTATGAAAGTAAATAGTCTTATTCTCTGGAAACACACATACCATTTTGGGATCAAGAATCATAATGTATGAAATTTACTCTTGAATAACTCAAGGAAAAAATGTACAGATACAAAATAGTAAATGATGTACAGAAAGAAAAAATGGTTGGGTGGCTATGCCTATAATCCCAACACCAAAGGAATTCTAGAACACCCTGGGCCACACAATGAAGCACTGTCGAGAAAGGGCACACAGAAAGAGATTTAGAATGAAATGCATGTGACATGAAGGCAGAAGGAGGACTACTTGAAGTTGGGGAGGGACCAGCAAAGGGGGGGCAGAGACAACAGAAGACAATGGGGAGTTTATGGATAAGAGCAAAGAACAACGGCACATGTACACTAAAACATCAGAATGAACCCATCACGTTACAAGTAAATTTTTAAAAAATTAAAAAAGAATGAAGGAACAAAAAGGAAGAGGGTGGAGGGAAATGGTGAGCACACAAGGCACAGTACCTAAAATGTAAAGTTGTGCAGAATTCTGATTGCTGCTCCTAGTTTCATAACTTCTGTATGAATATTTCTATCTGCACAGGACTTTAAAACCTTACAATTAAACCAAGATGAAAGACAGAGTGTGAAATATCACAGTTACTTCACAGATGTTCTTGAAAAGAGTCAAGTCCTAAGCTTTGAGAACCTCTTCAAAGCTTCTCTTCTATCTAACCCACACTATCAAACACAGGACTCGTCCCAGGGAAGACAGATAAAACAAAAACAGATCTGAGACCTCTCCTGTCTGCCAAGGAAATGTTTCAAAGTATAGGAAATAGGGGCAATTACCAAAGAAAGACATTATAGAGCCAGGCATAGTAGACCAAGTCTTTAAACCCAGAACTCAGGAGACAGAGGCAGACAGATCTCTGGGAGTTCAAGGCCAGCCTGGTCTACAAGTGAGTTCTAGGACAGCCAGGATAACACAGAGAAACCCTGTCTCAAAACAAACAAACAAACAGAAAGTCACTACAGTTCAGACTTGACTGCAGTTTTCCCCTCCCTCAGAGAAACTTTCAATAGCTCCAAAAGCTAAACACAGAACAACAGGGCTTGGGAGTCCTCCATGACTTCGGGACACCACACAGTAGATGCCTTAGTGAGCACACTAGGCAGTTTCCACAGGACCCTAAGCTCCAGGTATTCCCAAAAGACTCTCAACATTTTTAATCTTTAAATTACCAATGCTTACCAATGTTCTCTGCTTTCCATCTGGAAAATCCTTACCCCTACTTCTTACCCACTATATATTCTCCCACGGAAACCCCAAGGCAGCCCAGTCTGAGCCAGGAGAAGTGCATGAGCCACACACATTCTCAGTCACGGCCCAGCTCTAGTACCTATCTCTAGAGCAACCCCATTAGACTATTTTTTTTACCCCAAGATAGGGTTTCTCTGTGTAACAGCCCTAGCAGTCCTGGAACTAGCTCTTATAGACCAGGGTGGCCTTGAACTCAGAGATCCACCTGCCTCTGCCTCCCAAGTGCTTGCTGGGATTAAAGGCGTGCACCACCACTGCCCTGCTTAGACTACTTTTTGATAGCTCTACGTGAGTTCATGAAAGCCTACTGTGGTGGTTTGAATGAAAACGGCTCCCACAGAATTATTGGATGCACTGCCTTGTTGGAGGAAGTATGTCACTGGGGGTGGGCTTTGAGGGTTCAGAAGCTCAAGACAGGCTCAGTGTCACTCTCTCTTCCTGCTGCCTGCTGACCCAGATGTAGAACTCAGCAACTTCTCCAGCACTGTGTCTCCCTGCAGGCTGCCATGCTTCCTGCCATGATGATAACGGACTAAACCTCTGAACGATAATACCCCTCAATTAAATGTTTTCCTTTATAAGACTTGCTGTGGTCATGGTGTCTCTACACAGCAACAGAAACCCTAACTTAGATACCCACGTAGAACCCACCTAGCACAGGTCTACCACACAGGAAAAGGCCAGGAGTTTAAGTTTCCTTGATTCCCTTTTCCCTCGGAGCGATGGTCTCTAAGACCTCACACCAATCTAACCTTTTAAAAAGAAGCACTGCTCCTCAGACTTTAGCACTCAGAGTCCGTAACACGTTTCACTCACAGCACTAAAAGCTCAGATGACATCTTGTTACCATCACCTTTGCACACCTTACAGCAGCTTTTTGCTGAAACTTGTCAAAATTCAGGTTCCAGTCCAGGGCATACTAAATTATATAAGGCATGAAACGGAAGTTGGAAAGGGTAAAATGCAAATAAAGCCAAAAGAAGGGGTAAATTGTCAAGTGTAGAGGCAGGAAGTAGACAATTAAGAGAACATAAATTCCCTACACGGTGCTGTTCCCTTGAGTATGCTTAAGTATTTCCATAAGAAAAGGTCGATCATAAAATGATAAAGAATACCAATAGTAACATAATTCCAAAGATATGAGACCAGAGGGGACCTAGTGAAGAATCAAATATTTGAGAGCCTATAGCACCATACAGCTCCAGACTTCTCCTGGGATAGGCAAGTCCAAAACATATTCTAATTATAAAAACCACTGTAAGAAAAGCAAGGTTGGGTGTGTGGCAGTGTTATTATAAGGAACCAGCGGCAGCTCAGAAGCAGCCGCAGCCGGTACTGTGGACGTGGATGAGCGGCCCTTACGCAGCAGAAAGAAGAGCACTGCATGGAAGGCGGACCGTGTGTCAGAGCACAGAGGGAAGAGTGTGTCACCAGACAGCTTCAAAGACACGCTGGACGAAGCAAAATACAGACAAAATGAGGTAAGACTGTAAGACCTTTGACATCAGGGACGAAATCATACAGAGCAATTAGAGTTTAATATGGGAACTGGGTCTGGGTAAAGTAATTTATGTACCAAAAACTCATCAATTTTTCCCACTTAAACAAGACCTAAAACTAAGTCTAGATATTTTATCATAAAGAGACTGATTTACAACAAAAGCACAACATTTCTCACAGGCATGGCTGCTCATGAAAGTAAGCCCAGCACTCAGGAGTACGGAAAGAAAGACTGCTGAAAGTCAGTTCACCCTGAGCTACACCGTGAGGTCCAGGACAGTCTGGGCTCTGGGCTACAGACAGTGAGGGTCCCTGTCTCAGTGAATGAATGAGCCAATGACTGAAGTAATAAAAATTTTTTTGAAAATTCAGGCTAAATATTTGGTAAAGTACTGTAAAAGCGTTAAAGTTTCAGAGGCTGGGGAGACAGTCAACAGCTGAGAGCACTGGTTTGTCTTGCAGAGGACCTGCACTCAGCTCCCAGTATCCACACAGAGCTCACAGACACTCATGACTCCACTCTTAGCGATCTAACACACCCTTCTGGCCTCGCACACATGTGATACACTGATGCAGATGCAAGCAAAGCATACATGAAATAAGAATAAATCTTGAAAAATATTTATGCAAAAAGTCACAGTTATGTACTGAGGAATTTCTTTTTCTTTCTTTTTTTTCCGGTTTTGTTTGGTTTTCTTAAGACAGGGTTTCTCTGTATAGCTAGCCTTAACTGTCCTGGAACTCACTCTGTAGACTAAGTTGGCCTCGAACTCAGAGATCCGCCTGTTTCTGCCATGCTAGTGCTGAGATTAAAGATATGTGCCACCACTGCCTGGCTTAGGAATTTATATTATCTTTATTAATCCTCATGAAAACCCTGCTAAGGTTTTACTATTTTAAAAAGGAGGAGGGGTCTCTCCCAGAATCTAAGAAAGCTCAGTGGGGCTGGAAAGGGTGCTAAGAGCACTGGCTGCTCTTCAAAAGGACCCAGGTTCAATTCTCAGCACCCAGTTCCAGATCCAACACCCTCTTCTGGACGATATGGGCACCTAAACATACATAATGCACACATATATACTAAGGCTAAGGCATATGCATAAAAAAAATCAAAAAAATTTAAAACAAAAAAAAGCTCAAATAGCTCATGCAAGTCAACGACAAACAGTAGAGTCAAAACTCAAGCCCTTAATTCCAGGCAAGAGGATCTGTGAGTTCAAGACCAACCTGGCGAGGACAGAAAGGACTACATAGAGAGCCAATCTTAACATACTCCCCGTCCTCTCAAGCCAAGGGCAGGTGAAAAGCCCAAATTTATACTCTCATGACAACACAGTGCCACTTTCTCAAAAAGAAATGTCTTTAAAAGGTTACACAACCTTCACAGATGACGTTAGTACCAGGAAAGCCTCTGCTTGGCAGAGAGGTGGGCCTGCAAACACTGGGCAAGTACCAACCTGTGTGGGATTCTCAGGGCATAAACCAGACCAGAAAACCATGGGGAATTTTTACTCTCCACACAAACACCGCAGAATGATGTGACACTCACCTCAGTATATGACTTCTTGGTTATGTGAACATTCTTGGCTCTATAGGACTGACGTCTTCTTTTATAATCTCTCACTTCTGCCAGGATTTCCAGGTAAGATTTTGGACTTTTTCGGCTATTATCTAGTGAAAGAATAAACTTATTACATCCTTAGAAGCTTTCCAATTCATAATATGCAATATATATAATACATATTATATTATATTATATTATATTATATTATATTATATTATATTAT